CGGGTCCTCTGTCATCTCCAGGACGCCTGTTGGTCTTTGCTGGGTCCTCCAGGGCCTGCCACTGTAGCTGGCCTTGGCCAGAGGCTCATGGAATGCATTTAGTGCCTGCCTTAGACTGGGTGTGTGTCTAGGAGGGCCTACAGGAAGACTCAGAGGGGTGAGTGTGAGCTTGGTGCTCAGAAGGTGGGAGCCAGGGCTGTTCTCTTTTGGCAGAGGGGTGGCGATGGACCTCAGAGGAGCAGTTTTGCTGGCGAGGTGGGGGTAGAAAAGAGCCACAATCCCATCGGCCATAGCCCTGTGTCTGTTTTTTTCACTTAATCTTCACCTGATGAGGTGGGTATTTGACCCACTTTACAGATGAGTAAACAGGCTCATGGACGTTCAGGAATTGGTTGTGGGTACCAAGAGAGTCTGGGTTTCTGGTGGACTCTGGGACTTGTTCTCAGTACCTGGATGCTGTTGGGTGGAAGGTGGACAGCTAGAGCTGGACAGCTGAGCAGAGGAGCTCAGGTATCTGCCTCCTGGTGTGAGTGTGGGATCAAGTCCTGCCTGGTGTCCCCCATGGGGGTGATCCACAGCTGTACCCTCAGCTCTTCAGCCTCAGGTCTGAGAAGATGTGTCATTGACCCCATAGGGGACCACATGGCACTCTGGGGATGACAGCAGCCTCAAGTACAAACCTTCACCCAGACAGTTTTGTTATCTTAGTGTACACACAGGTGCACATAGGGGCACACATACAATGCATGCGTACACCTTCAGTACACACACATGACATGTGCACAGAGACACACATTATGCACGTGTGATGAGGGTGGGCTCTGCCTGTTGGTGACTGTGCCCACATTGGCCTGTGAATGATGCGAGCAGGGGCTACACAGGCAACCTGGTGTGTCCACTCTGGTGGGCGCTGTGCTGTGGCTGTGGGTCTGTGTTGGGGCTCCAGATAACATTACAGCGTGATCTGAGCTCCGTTCCTTCCTGGCTGAATAATATTTCATTGTATGGATGTGCCATGCCCTGTTCATCCAAATGTCCATGGCTGGGCATTATCCAAATATCCATGGCTAGACACTTAGGATGTCTCCAAAAAGGGGTGACTTCACCCCCCCTCCCCCACATCACCTGACCCTGAGGATTCAACATGATCAGTGCAAAACTCACCCGGCCAACCTGCTGAAAACTTCTCCCCGAAGCTGCAGTCGAAGTGGGGCTGCAGGTGGGTGCTGAGCCCAGAAATGCAGCAGCTTCTACAGAGGAACTGAAACCTACTCAGCCTCATGTGGGGGTGCATACTGGAGTGGGGGCAGACAGAAACCCCTGGTCTCCGAGCATTTTCTGGCATGGTTGTGTTTGGGAAGTTGGTGCGCTGTTTGGAGCCAGTATATTTGGAGAAAAGAAGGGGCAGCCCAACGTGTTTAATTAAATTGCAGCCTTGACCTGAGGGGGAGGCGGGGGCCCCATGGCTGCCTCCTGACTGGTTCATGCTGAAGCAACTGGAGCAAAGGAAAACTGGCAGTCTGTTTCCATGGCAACCACTCTATTTCCTGTCTCTACATTGCCCAGCCTGGAAGTTTGGGTTCCTGTGATTGTGCTTGGATCCCAAGCACCCCATCACTGGCACGTGGAGACATGCTGTTGCTTTGGGCTGGTGCCATTTTTTTGGAGACCCCAACCCTCCTTCCAGCCACTTGCCAACTCTTCCTGTGGAGTCAGCTCAGCTCACCCCTCTGGCCAACCCCTGTGTACACCTCCGATTCTCCCTCACGCCTCCCTTCCCTTAGACCTGCCCCACCTCCTCTCAGGACATAGCCCCTCTCACCTCCTCGGGCTGTTCAGGAGGCAAGGGTGTTCTCCCAATTAAACCATGTGTCCTGAGTTCCTGCCCCAGACCTGGCAGAATAAGATGCACAATACATCCCGCCCCTGCTACCCCAGACATGGGACACCTGGCCTTCATGGACCTTCCAGAACCACAGGCTGCCATTATTGAAATGACTGTGGCAGGACAGAAGGTTTTCCTGGTGACTATTTGGTGCTTATATGACAGTAGTTTGGCCAGCAGATGGCTGACATTTTGGAAAACCCAAGAGGCACATTATGCACATATGGGTTTGCTATAGAGCTCCCGCCCAGCCTAGAAGGCCGGTGAGTCTGAGACGAACAACCTGCAGGTCTGCCCATGTGGTCTGAAGCCTCTGCTCGGCCCCCAACCTGGACAAGGTTCTGAAACTGGTTGGGCAGGAGGAAGTTCTGGTTCTCCTCCTGGCTGGGGAGAGAAAACAGTCTGAACAGTCACACTAGGGAGTTATTCAGCCAGAAAGGAATATATGCTTCTCACACTCAGTATGGACGCGCCTTGGAAAGAGAAAGCAGGCAAGACCACAGAGTGCGGGATTCCGTCTGGGGAGATGTCCAGAACAGGCGATTCAGAGACAAAGCAAATGTGTGGTTGCCTAGGGCTGGTGGAGGCGAGTGGCTGCTCATGGGTATGGGTTTCTTTTGGGGGTGATAGAAATGTTCTGGACCTGGAGAGTGGTGATGGTGGTAGAACACTGTGGATATACTACAGGTCCTGAATGTACGCTGCAGTAGTTAAGATGGTGAATTTTCTGTTGACTTTTACCTCAATAAGGGAAAAATGTCGGAAGGATAAACCAAAATCATCCCATTTTACAGATGAGCAGCTGAGGCTCAGATGCTTGGGAATTAAGCCTTCTAGGGGAGAAAGAGGGAGCTCTCACCCACACATGGTCTCCTCCCCCTGGGTCTCTCCTACCTTCCTTCCTCCCCATGGCCAGCAGTCACCAAGTCCTGTGGATGTGGTACAAGGAATGTCTCCCAGACTATTCTTTCTTCTCCATCCCCTTTCCTTGTCACCAGGGACGCCCACCCTGGTCAAGGCCCATGATGGGCACCAGACTCCTGTGGCCTGTTGGGGCAATGTCCGAAAGGAAGGGGGCTGAACAGACAAGCCAGTGCTGTGCCGGCACTCGATGTCAGGCCTGATGTGTTACCTGGGGCACAACCCAGGACTTCTGAGCCTCACCTACCAAATGGTGACCTGGGTGTTGATGAAGGTGACATTGGTGTCGACCCTCACCCTCTTGCAACCTCATTGTGAAGAGCAGATGCCTCTGCGAATGGTCACTGTGATGTTTCCTTTAGGTTGTGTGGCATCCTGCCTGATGGCAGGGTTTCACCTTCTGGGGCAGGTAGCCATTCACCAGACAGTGCAGCTGTTCCCAGATGTGCACAGGGTTAGAGATAGTAACTGGGGTGATTTCATCAGCTCCAGACACGTCTCCATCATGGCCCATGGGCTTGTGGCCTGGGATCTTGGTCTAAACCTGCACTGTGTATCCATGGGGGCATCTGGAAAGATTGTGGGAAGTGAGGCATCTTGATTTTTTAAAAAAGATTTATTTATTTATGCATATTTATTTATTTATGAACTGGGGTACAGGCCAGATGTACAGGGTGGAGGGTGAGAGGATCCACCAGAGACAGAGTGGGGAACAGATCAGGAAGAGTTGACTGAAATACACTGCTGAGGGGAGCAGTGGACGAGACAGGAGAGGTCTGCTGTGCCGTGTGGGTAGCTGCCTGGCCAGCTGGGGATTGAACTCGTGTCGCACAATGCTGTGCTTTAACCCCTTGCACCACCAGGGAGGCCCATCTTGATTTTTTTTTAAATCAAAAAACTTCAAAAGTGGTCCTTCCAGCCTCGTAAGCATCATGTAATTAGAAACACAGACCGGGGCCCATCCCACAGCTGCTGAATCAGCCTTCATGGTAGCGAGACCTGCGTGGTAGCGAGACCCACGAGCAAACAAATGCACACAATGTCTCAGAAGCCCCGCAATATCACTGGGTCCCTGAAACAGCCTCAAGGCAGCGCTGAAGGCACTTTGAGATCACACAGCTGGGCAGAATGGCTAGTACCCAAATAACAAAAAACATACAGCCGGCTCTGGGCCAGCCATCTCGGGTAGGGACGGAAATGCAGTCTCACTCGAAGTTGCCCTTAAAATAGGAAATATTTAAGAATTGAGTTGAGGAAGACTTGAACACAGAATTTGGTGGAAAACACAAAGGGGGTTCCGATTAAACGGGGACACAAACTATGTCTAGAAATTGATTTTCAACTGGCGGCGACTCTGCTTCCCAGGGACACTGGGCCATATCTGGAGACAGTTTGGGCTGTCATTTTGGATTGGGGGCAGGACACCAGCATTGAGTGGGTGGAGGCCAGGGATGCTGCTCACTATCTGCAGTGATAGCCCCCCCACCAAAGAAGGATCCAGCCCCAGCGTTAACACATGTGCACGCGTATTCCCACACTGTTTTGGTAGAGCAGAGCAGTGGAGTGGTGCAGGAGAATCTTTGGAGATTCTAAAATCATAAAGGCAGTGTGCAAGTAAGTTGACTTGTATACGCAGCCCAGTACAGCCACGTAGCCCTAGTGTTGTTCCCACAAGAGTTGCTGGCATAGCACACCTGGTGGGACTTGTCCAGATTCCTTTAGGGCTGAACGTCCAGCTGTGATGCTGGGCCGAGAGCAGCCCCATAGAACTACTTGAGCCCCATAGAGCCCCATAGAGCCCCATAGAACAGCCCCATAGAGCTTCTCCTCAGTCCATTTTCCACCAGCGCTACTTCCCATCTATCCAGTTCCCAGCAGGGCCTCCCAGATTGCCCATAGGAATCACCAACAAACTTCTCTCCCAGTGAGATCCAGACTTGGAGCCTGGGCTATCTAAAGGCAGGAGGCTCTTGAACAACTGTGCAACCTGGGGAGTGTCAGGTGGCCCTGGCCACCTCCCTTTGCCCCTGTGGAACGGGTCTCTAAGCCTGCAGCACCCTAGCCAGGGTTAAAGGAGGGCGCGCTGGCCAAGGTCAGGGCTGCTGTGGTGCTGCTCTGGATGTGCATTCAGGCTGTCCTGGGGGACTTGGTTGTGGGTGTTTAACCCAGCATGGTGCCCTCTTTTTTGCTGCAGATGATGTGCGGTTGTTTGCCTTCGTGCGCTTCACCACTGGGGATGCCATGAGCAAGAGGTCCAAGTTCGCGCTCATTACCTGGATTGGCGAGAATGTCAGCGGGCTGCAGCGGGCCAAAACTGGCACGGACAAGACCCTGGTGAAGGAGGTTGTGCAGGTACTGTATTTTCTTAGGGCCTGAGGGAGGGGGTCAGACCCTACAAAGTGTCACTTTCTGGCATGGACAGAGGGGCTGGGTTTGGCTTCTGGGTCTGTGACTTCTCTGGTCTACTAGCACCACGAGTAAACTGTGACCAAAATTGTTTTCAGGGTACAAGCTAAGAGGCAGGTAGTTGAGTTTGGGATCCTGACTGTCACATAGTAGGAACATGGCATCTACAAGACTACCTGTGGGGGTGGGGACAGGCAAATTTTGGGGACGGTAAATGGAGGGATGACTAAAATGGCAGCCACCAGATTGAATGGTTGATCATCATGAATGATTCCACTGGTGGCCAGGGAGACCCAGTGGGAAAATTCATGCATGCCCCTCTGAGCTGCTGGGCACACAGTAGGCATGTAGTAACACTGTTGACTGGCTAAGTATCAACCAGATGGGGTTTTTTTTAAAGATTTATATTATTTATTTATGCATACAAGAACTGGGGTACAGGTCAGAAGTCAACGGGGGATGAGAGGATTCATCAGAGACAGAGTGGGGAGCAGACAGGTGGATTTATTGAAATACACTGCTGAAGGGAGCAGCGGGCGAGGCACGAGAGGTCTTCTGTGCCATGTGGATCACCTCCTTGGCTGGGGATCGAACTTGTGCTGCAGTGGCTGTGGATAGCTTCATAGTGCTGAGACTTAACCCCTTACTCCACCAGAGAGGGCCCCCCTGCTGGGGGCTTTTGCAGAAGGTGACTGAGGATGACCAAAATGGCAGTACCATTTGCTGGATGGTTGACAGTCCTGGCTGACTTCCACTGGTGGCCGGGGGACCCAATGGGAAAACTGAGTCTCTGAACTGCCTGACTTGGTGCTGATGACATTTGTTGAATAAATGAATAAATGTCAACCTGATGAGGACCAGCAGAGGACTGATGATTTGGTGGCCATGGAATAATCAGGCTGTATAGACAGTGGCACAGACTGGGTGGCTGAGCATGGCCCAGGTCTACTTATTCCCCAGCCCCTATTAGACGGAAAGGAAAGAGCAGGAGGTGGGTATACTTGTGGAATTCTCTATGGTAAAGGTTTTTTTCCCCTCATTCTGGCCATGATGAAAACAGACTCTATGGGAAACTTCCGAGGTGGTTCATTTGGGACCAGGACCTGGAGTCATGCCAAGAAAAGAAAACCTGAATTATGTATCGTACTCAGCTAGTAAAAAAAAAAAAATGAGCTCTTGCCTTTTGCGACAACACGGATGGAATTTGAGGGGATGGTGCTAAGCAAAATCAGTCAGAAAGACAATTACCAGATGGTTCCTCTCCTATGTGGACTATCAACAGAGCAAAGGAACGAACAGATCACAGCAAAAATAGCCCTTGGACTGTGTGAAATGTGGTGGTTACCAGAGAGGAGGAGGAGAGGAAAGGAAAAGAACAATCTGATAGCGGGCAGGCCACTAGCGCTTTGGTGGTGGGTGAGGTGAGGCTTAATCACACACAAAGGTGAAGGTGTAACCCCCAAATTTATATTACATTGTAAATCAATAAAATTTAAATTAAAAAAAGGGAAATCTGAATTCTGGAAAGATAAACCAAGGGCATGGCTAGGGAAGGGTAAGTGAGGGAGAATTATCTCTTTATCAAAGGGCCCTTCATTTTGCAAAAGGCCCTCTCAAAACCCATGGCTGGGAGGTGGCAGCTAAGGGGCAGGGGTGTTCTTTCTTTGTGCGATGTTGGAAATGTCCTGAAATTGACTGTGTGATGGTTGCTCTTCTCTGTGAATAGACTAAAAGCCATTGAGTTTAAAAAACAGGAACAGGGGCCCTCCTGGTGGTGCAAGGGGTTGGGATGCAACCTACGAAGCTATCTGCAGTCACTGCAGCATGAGTGTGATCTCCGGCCAGGGAGCTGCCCACATGGTGCAGCAGACCTCTCCTGACTCTCCTGCCACGTCCCTCAGCAGTGTATTTCAGTCAATCCACCTGTTCTGTTCCCCACTCTGTCTCTGGTGAATCCTCTCACCCCCCGTACCTCTGGCCTGTACTCCAGTTCTTATATGCATAAATCAATAAATAAACCTTTAAAAAAATAAAGGGCCTCCCCTGTGGCGCAGTGGGTTGAGTGCAGCACTGTGGAGCTGTCCGCAGCCTCTGCAGCGCAGGTTCGATTCCCGGCCAACCAGGGAGATTCCCACATGGTGCGGCAGACCTCTCCTGTCTCACCCGCTGCTCCCCTCAGGAGTGTATTTCGGTCGTTTGCCTGTTCTGCTCCCTGCTCTGTCTCTCGTGAATCCTCTCACCCTCCGGTGCCTCTGGCTTGTACCCCAGCTCTTGTATAAAAATAAATAAATCTTAAAAATAAATAAATAAAAACAGGAACAAAACACACACACACACACACACACACGTATGCATGCACAGGCTGTCTGCATGTCTGCAGTGTGGTATCCTGCATTGGCCCCCGGGATAGAAAAACTGGTAAATTCAGAGCCACGTATGCAGCTTGGTTAATAACAATGATCCAATGTTGGCTTCTTAGCCGTGACACCTGTCACATAGGAATGAAGATGGTAACAACTGTGCAAATGGGGTGCAGGGCACATGGGAGCTGTGCTACTGTCTCAAACTTTTTGGTAAACTTAAAATTGTTAGTAAAATTTTTATTTAAAATATAATCCTAGGAAAGAATTGCTACCACTCCATTATCATGGCCTGTTTCTCCATCTTCCCTCCCACTCTGCTATGAAACTCCTTCTTTGGAGTTTCATTGCAGCCTGCAGATCATGCTCCAGTCTGTAGCTTTTTTGGCTTGTTTTTTCATTTAGTATAATTTCATTAATTGTGTGGCTTGGAGTGTTTCTGGTGATTGAATGTCCTGTTTCATAGAGCTCTAGAATGTACTACATGTTCCCCTGTTATCAGCTCCTGAATTGTCATTCATTTTTATTTTTATAAATAAGTTCCAACCAACATTGAAATGCACGTGGCTCCTTTCTGCCTTCTACTGAGTTATTCCTCTGGAATACATTTTCAGGAAGGCGGGTTCTGGAGTTATAGGTGTGAAGATGTCTTTAAAAAGGTATGAGTTGTCTGATGGCCTTCAAAAAGGTTGGCACTACACATCGGAGATAGTAGATACTCGCTAAATGGCATTTATTCCACATTCTATTCAGCAAAGTTACCATTGCTGTCTGTACCCTGTCAGTGCTGACACCCTGGCTTTGGAGGACCACCTGCTCTACCAACAGGCTATTTTTCTCCAGGCTAGTTTGGGTTTTTATGGCTAACAAGCTTTGGGGGTCTCCTGCTGACTTGCCCCCCTCCATGGCCACCCAGGGTGTAGCCAAGAGAAGGTACATGGAGTGAGAGTTTGCCAGATGTGTCCTTGGGCATCGTCTGTGGGATCTTCAGGTGCTCCTATCTCCTTTCCCTTTTAAAAATTGTGGCAAGATACCATAACATAAAATGTATCATTTTAGCTATTCTAAAGTGTGTCATCCAGGGGTGTTACTACACTTGGGGCTGTGCAGTTATCACCATTGTCTTGTTCCAGAACTTTCTCATCACCCCCAAAGGAAATCGTGTGTCCGTCAGCAGCCAGCAGAGTTTCCTTACAATCTAGAATTCTTCTCTATTTGGTTAAGTGGGCCAGTGATAGGGGATGATGGGAGGAAATGTGATTCTTGGGTGGGAACAGGAACCCTCAGCTGGGAGTATTGCTTATAATTCACTTGTTCGAGTTCAAATATGTTGTAGCCAAAGGGAAATTGTCTGGCTCTCAGAACTGGGAAGCGCAGGGCTTGCTCGCTTTAGGCATGGCTGGATCCAGGACTCAAGCAGTGTTTTCCTTTCATCTGTTTTCTCTGGGTTTGGTCTCAGGCAGCTTGTATAGCAGGAGAAAAGGAGAAAAGAACCCCCTACTGCAGGGGTTCTTCTGGGTCTTGATCCCCAGGGAAGAGACACCTCCTCCCTCAGTGTCAATCATTCCCTTAAGGGACACAATTGGCCCAACTTGGGTCACATGTACATCTGGGAGGGAGGTGGGGGTTTCATGATTGACAGCTCTGGTGTGATCCCAGTTCAAAGAAATAGATGGTAGTGGCTGAAAAGCACAGATTCCACTTGGGTAGGGGAGGGAGACTGCTTGAACTGCAGGTCCAGTAGAATGTTTTGACCATCACCCCTAGCATTTTCCACTCTGCATTTTAAAAGGTTTTTTGTCTGAAGCTGCAAGACCTCACATTTATACTATGGTTGCAAAAATAGCCATTGAAGTTACAAAGGGTCAATTATGTCCACATAATGGGATCTTTGGGCAGTGGCTAAAATCCTGCCGATGCTGCACTTGAGATTGTTGCCCTCTGTTCCAGGGGATGCAGAGCAGCTGTTCCCTGAAGAACCTTCCAGACTGGTCATCCTGGATTCCATGTCTGGGACAGTCACCTTTCTAGCTGCTTCTGCTACTATTTCCATGTGAAGAATAAAAGGACTGACTATTAGTTGAAGGTTTTTAACACACCCTTGACTTTCATTGTCATAAACATATTGTTCCCACATCTCTTCCTTTGTATGGAAATGCAGAATGTGTCACTTGGTGTGGAGACACTGGAGTCAAGAAGGATGGATGTTTACGACACTTGCTGCCTGCCTGACAGTGGGCCAGTTGCCTTCCCTTCCTGGTCCTCCTTATAGAAAATGAGTGGAATAAGTTGACTTGCTGTGTCATATTCTGTTTTGACATATTCTGGGATTTTTTTCAACAATGCAGTACTTCATTTCTGATGGCTTATTACCTTTCAAGGAAGCCTGTTTTACTTAGTCAACAAAGAGACAGTGTCTGCTGTGGTCTGGCCTTTGGAGCCAGGTGACCTGGGTTTTGCTTTCAGCGCCACCCGGTACTATGTGGCCTTGGGCACATTGCTTACCCTCTCTGGGCCTCAGTCCCCAGAGGTCTTAGGACTGTGGTGGGGATTTTATCAACATATATGGAGAAAGTGCTAGAACAG